ATAATCCCTTTTAATTCTTCGCCTCTTTCAAGAACCCTTTCTCGATTAGAGTATATCTGATATAGGACAGGAGATCAGCTATATAGGGAACTTCGATGAGGCATATTCCTTGATTCTTGCATATATCCCGCTTCTTCTGATCGCGCATATTTTGTGATTTTAGATTTTCATTTTCCCGGTGGTAGAAGCTATTGTGGTGATAGTGTTGAGGACCCTGGAATTCGAATGCAAGATGCAATTCCTCATTATATCCATCCAAGTGTAGCCCATCTAAGAACTTAGCCCTACATGGTGGGAATTTCTTGCCTAGTAGATCCTCAAAAATATATCGGCATTGGCGTTCACCGCTTCTATGATGGCAAAGAGGGCACCATTCGAATTTTTTCATGATATATTTTAGTGGATACTCCCACTGATGCGCACCATTCTCACAAGACCAAAGATATATATCATGACCATTTATTCGTCCGGTCTTTCCTATACATTGGCCACCACGTCTTCTGGCATAATCAATAGCCTGATCTATCTCTCCATTAGTGATATAGGCAATATGTACAGATAATATGCTTTGGGGTGAATACCCAACTTTTTCTGGATCGGGAATTAATATAAGTTCTTCTCTCACAAATCTGCGAGATGGTGCAAATTCCCCATCGATATAATATAAAACTGGTTCATTCTTTATGATAACCACTTTTCGGATTTTATGAAGACTTGAACTGAATGTAGGGTCCGTTGCCCTTTTCTGATTTTCCATACCCCCTTCCCATTCCGCATTGGCAAGTAGGTAGCGGACAGTATCTCCTTTCTTTAATCTTATTTCATCTTTTCCAACTGGGCGCTTATATTTTGTGGATGGTCTAGATTCGACTCGCTCTAAAGCAATGGCTTTTACTGGCTCAAGCCCCCACTTTTCTGATCCCGGTTCTCGAATAAGGCGTGTGGGATAATTATTCAGATAATCAATAGCTTCTGGTAAATATCTAACCCATGCTATTATTAATTTAGGATCAGAAGATATTGATTCAACGGCATACTGGATTTTGTATAGAATTTTTGAGAGAGTCTTATTGAAACGCTCTACGAATACAACTCTTCTGTGACTATATAGGCCGACCACTCGAATTGTGACATTATGCTCTTGTATTAGACGGGAAGTCTCGCCCATAAATTCACGACCTCCGTCACATTGCAGAAGCTTTGGCCAGGTCAGTGGATTATTTCGAGCACCATATACCTTCCTAAATGCTTTAGCAACTTCTGAGCTATTCTTCGAAGTGAGCGGAACAGAAGCTTTATATCGGGAAGCGCAGTCTATAATGTTAAGTACTGCTTTATATTTTTTACCTCTATAGTAATCATGAGTGAGAAATAGTATAT